TTCCTATTGGCTTTTGAAAGCCAATAGAATTAGACTCTATTCAAGAGAGTCTATTCTATTGGTTTTCAAAAGCCAATAGAATAAAAGGGAGTAGCACAGCTAAGGAAAAGGGGGGAAAAATGGCAGACTGCGTTGTTTGGCGACCCCCGTGAAATGGTCGTTCGACCCCAAATGGGGTCCCGACCCACAGGTTGAGAACCACTGTTTTAGAGTCGCAACATCTTTTTGATATTGTGATGACCAAAACTGGATGTAATATTCCAAGTGTGGCCTTACCAAGGCCTTGTAAAGTGGTATTAACACTTCACGTGATCTTGATTCTATCCCTCTGTTAATGCAGCCTAGCATTGTGTTGGCTTTTTTGGCAGCTGCAGCACACGGCTGGCTTATATTTAAGTGATTGTCCACTAGGACTCCAAGGTCCCTTACCCAGGCTTTTTTGTATAGCAGTACCAATACCACTTTTTGAGTAGAAATGGGAATTAAAATAACACCAGTCTTTGAAGGGCTAAGAATTACAGGCTGCAGAATGTGAAAAATCCAGAGCTGATAACTAAGGGTTACAGACGGAACACACACCCTAAAATAAAATAAAAAAAACCCCAAATCCTCAAACAACAAAGAGCAATTTACGCAAGCAGCTTTCGGAACAAAGGGTTTTCGAGACATTGTTTTTCTCACTGCTGAAATGGAGGTACCTCTGTAACATGCAAAAGCTAAAAACACATCCGTGCAATTACAGAAATGTTCAAAATGATAGGGTGGCCTTGGCAACCTCAACCACCAATTTGGCCTTGCTCTCGGCCCACTTCACGATGTCGAGAGGCTGTAAAAACCAGGCAATGCTTTTGTGCCCAAGGGTGCCAACTTGGCTGGGTTTTTTTTTTCTTTTTTTCTTTTAGAGCAGCTCAGACATTTTTTGCAGTCCCTTGTTTCTCTCCGGACGGTTAGAAAGCTTGCTTTCTGCTCTAGAGTCTGAGCCAGCTTAAAATTGCATATATTTAAATAAATTAGAACCAAGCCAAACCCACCCATAACGTTTGTCAAACCAGTCCAATAAATCTCCCTCCCCCCCCCCCTTTTTTTTTTCCATCAGACCTTCAGACATGTATTGCCTTGGTCTTGTTCTCAGGCAACCTCAGTTGACTTCCTTTGCCCCAAGTGACTTTGCGATGTTTGCTAAAAGTCCCTGATTGGCCAAGATTAACCACGTGACTCAACCAGTATAACAAAAAAAAAAAAAAAAAAGCTGTGGTTCCAAGCCAAACAGTAACGATAAACAAGATTTTTTTCTTTTTTAAGGTGACTGTTCATATACGAGGTCAAAACCAAATCTAGCATTTTCAAATGCCTTCCTTGGTGCTCTCTTGAGCTTGGTGGTTTTCTTGTAGAAGTTTCATGACCCAACTAGGTAACGTCATCAGTGCTGGAAGAGAATGGGAGATGCAGGGAGGAGGAGGAGGAGGAGGGGGGGGAGGAGGAGGACGACGACAACGGTGGAATCCTTGGTGCTCTCTGAGCTTGGTGGTTTTCTTATAGACGTTTCATGACCCAACTAGGTAACATCATTAATGTTAGAAGAGACTGGAGGGGTGTGCAGAGGAGGAGGAGGAGGAGAAGGAGGAGGAGGAGGACGACGACGACGACGACGACTGTGGGGTCCTTGGTGCTCTCTGAGCTTGGTGGTTTTCTTGTAGATGTTTCATGACCCAACTAGGTAACATCATCAGTGCTGGAAGAGAATGGGAGATGCAGGGAGGAGGAGGAGGAAGAGGAGGAGGAGGAAGAGGAAGAGGAGGAAGAGGAGGAGGAGGACGACAACTATGGAATCCTTGGTGCTTTCTGAGCTTGGTGGTTTTCTTATAGACGTTTCATGACCCAACTAGGTAACATCATCAGTGCTGGAAGAGAATGGGAGATGCAGGGAGGAGGAGGAGGAGGAGGAAGAGGAGGAGGAGGAAGAGGAAGAGGAGGAGGAGGACGACAACTATGGAATCCTTGGTGCTTTCTGAGCTTGGTGGTTTTCTTATAGACGTTTCATGACCCAACTAGGTAACATCATTAGTGTTAGAAGAGACTGGGGGGGTGTGTGCAGAGGAGAAGGAGGAGGAGGAGGAGGAGAAGGAGGAGGAGGAGGAGGAGGAGGAGGAGGAGGGGGGGGAGGAGGAGGGGGAGGAGGGGGGAGGAGGGGGAGGAGGAGGGGGGAGAGGAGAAGGAGGAGGAGGAGGAGAAGGAGGAGGAGGAGGACGACGACGACGACGACGACTGTGGGGTCCTTGGTGCTCTCTGAGCTTGGTGGTTTTCTTGTAGATGTTTCATGACCCAACTAGGTAACATCATCAGTGCTGGAAGAGAATGGGAGATGCAGGGAGGAGGAGGAGGAAGAGGAGGAGGAGGAAGAGGAAGAGGAGGAAGAGGAGGAGGAGGACGACAACTATGGAATCCTTGGTGCTTTCTGAGCTTGGTGGTTTTCTTATAGACGTTTCATGACCCAACTAGGTAACATCATCAGTGCTGGAAGAGAATGGGAGATGCAGGGAGGAGGAGGAGGAGGAGGAAGAGGAGGAGGAGGAAGAGGAAGAGGAGGAGGAGGACGACAACTATGGAATCCTTGGTGCTTTCTGAGCTTGGTGGTTTTCTTATAGACGTTTCATGACCCAACTAGGTAACATCATTAGTGTTAGAAGAGACTGGGGGGGTGTGTGCAGAGGAGAAGGAGGAGGAGGAGGAGGAGAAGGAGGAGGAGGAGGAGGAGGAGGAGGGGGGGAGGAGGAGGGAGAGGAGGGGGAGGAGGGGGAGGAGGAGGAGGAGGGGGAGGAGGAGGAGGAGGAGGGGGAGGAGGAGGACGACGACTATGGGATCCTTGGTGCTCTCTGAGCTTGGTGGTTTTCTTGTAGATGTTTCATGACCCAACTAGGTAACGTCATCAGTGCTGGAAGAGAATGGGAGATGCAGGGAGGAGAACGAGGAGGAGGACAACAACAACTGTGGAATCCTTGGTGCTCTCTGAGCTTGGTGGTTTTCTTATAGACGTTTCATGACCCAACTAGGTAACATCATTAGTGTTAGAAGAGACTGGAGGGGTGTGCAGAGGAGGAAGAGGAGGAGCAGGAGGAGGAGGAGCAGGAGGACGACGACTGTAGGGTCCTTGGTGCTCTCTGAGTTTGGTGGTTTTCTTGCTGACATTTCATTACCCAACAAAGTAACATCATCAGTGTTATAAGGCAGTGGTTTTTTTCTCTTTTTATGTACTAGGGGCTTGCCCTGTTGTTTCACCAGCAATCAACACCCAGATAAGCAGAGATTAGCAGCAAGATCAATACTAGACCAACTATCGAGAAGTCAATGCATCCCAATCAACTATACAGATAAACAAGCTAGCAGTAAACATCGGCCTAGTCGATGAACGACCAAGATCCTCCCACTACCAGAGAAGCCATTTGAGTATAAACACAGAGTAAATTTCCCTTTCCTTCTAGACTGATGGGTAATGAAACATATGCAAGAAATCAACTGAGCAGAGAAAGCATCAAAGATGCCACAATTCAAGTATTCTATTAATACCACTTTACAAGACCTTGGTAAGGCCACACTTGGAATACGGCTTCCAGTTTTGATCACCACGATGTAAAAAAGATGTTGAGACTCTAGAAAGAGTGCAGAGAAGAGCAACAAAGATAATTAGGGGACTGGAGGCTAAGACATATAAGGAAAGGCTGCTGGAATTGGGTATGTCTAGTTTAATGAAGAGAAGGGGGGACAGGATAGCAGTGTTCCAATATCTCAGGGGCTGCCCCAAAGAAGAGGGAGTCAAGCTACTCTCCAAAGTGCCTGAAGGCAGGACAAGAAGCAACGAATGGAAACAGATCAAGGAGAGAACCAGGACAAATTTTCTGACAGTTTTAGAACAATTAACCAGTGGAACAATCTGCCTCCAGAAGAGGTGAATGCTCCAACACTGGAAGTTTTTAAGAAGAGACCGGACAATCATTTATCTGAAATGGTATATGGTTTCCTGCCTGAGCAGGGGGTTGGACTAGAAGACCTCCAAGGTCCCTTCCAATTGTGTTACAGAGTGATGGTTTACAAGTGGTTTACAGAGTCAACATATTTGTCCCCCAAAACCTGGGTCCTTATTTACTGGATGGAAGGCTTGAGTCAACCTTGAGCTGGTCAGGATCAAACTCCTGGCAGTGGGCAGAGTTTGCCTGCAATACAGCATTCTAACCACTGCGCCTCTAGAGAGGGAGGGAGGGAGGAAGGAAGGAAGGGCAATAGCAATAGCACTTAGACTTATATAACGCTTTACAGTATTTTACGGCCCTCTCTAAATAGTTTACAGTCAGCCCATGGCCCCCAACAATCTGGGTCCTCATTTACCGACCTCGGAAGCATGGAAGGCCGAGTCAACCTTGAGCCAGTCAGGATCGAACTTCCTGGCTGTGGGCAGAGTTAGCCTGCAATGTCGCATTCTAACCACTGCACCACCAGGGCTAAGTATGAGGAATGGCTGTAAGTTGCTTTTTTTTTTTTTCAATTGCACTTCAACTTCAAGTGGTCGCTAAATGCACAGATATAAGTCGAGGACTACCCGTCTACAAGGATGCTGGTAAGCTTCTGTCAAGCTGGCAAAAAAAAAAAACCCACAGATTTTTGTACCTACAGTTCGCACCCACAACCACGTCCTTGTTATAGCGAGGCTCTCTTGATCTTCAGTCCTTCAAGGGCCCAGCCAAACTCAAGTTAATATTTGGCAAAGAGTTGGTTCCTTGATTTAAGATTGAACGCAGCCGCCTTTTATCGTCTTGTTTAAAAGAAATTTTAAAAAAAACCCCGAAAACCACACGCAGATGAGTCTTTTGCAAAAAACATATGAACCCTTTGCTAAGTGGCCTTGCTCTGACTTTCACTGCAAGGCCAGCAGTTTTCAAGGACACCCACGTTGATTCTCCCACTGGCAAGTTCAGAGAGAAGCCTCCCGCTTCCCTTCGGCAACTTACTTTGGCTTCGGTCTCCCCGCGGTGTAACGTGTACAAATGATGGATGGCGCTTTGCGAGGAGGACCACGGGTGGGTGAGGACTTGGAAGATGTGGAAATCGTGGCCCAGGGTGTCTGCTGTGACCAGAAGCATGCCTGAAGGGGAAAAAAGAGAAAGGGGGGGACACGTGAGAGAGGAAGCACGTTGAGCGCCGCGTTCAGCAACGTTATGTTCCTCTCCGCCATCTGAAAAAAAGGAACGTGATCTGAACTCTACTTTAAAATCATTGGCATGAGGTCATTTTTTTAAAAAAATAAATTTATAATACACTATGCCAGGGGTAGGCAACCTTAGCTCTTTTATGACTCGTGGACTTCAACTCCCAGAATTCCTGAGCCAGCATGAGGGAAACTTTGGCCCCTTCGTGACTCGCGGACTTCAACTCCCAGAATTCCTGAGCCAGCATGAGGGAAAATTTGGCCCCTTCTTGACTCGCGGACTTCAACTCCCAGAATTCCTGAGCCAGCATGAGGGAAACTTTGGCCCCTTCTTGACTCGCGGACTTCAACTCCCAGAATTCCTCAGCCAGCATGGGGGAACTATGGCCCCTTCATGACTCATGGACTTCAACTCCCAGAATTCCTGAGCCAGCATGAGGGAAACTTTGGCTCCTTCATGACTCGTGGACTTCAACTCCCAGAATTCCTGAGCCAGCATGAGGGAAACTTTGGCCCCTTCATGACTCGTGGACTTCAACTCCCAGAATTCCTGAGCCAGCCACGCTGAGGGGAAAGGGAGAGGTTTCCATGCTGAGCCATACCAGCTCAGGAATTCTGGGAGTTGAAGTCCATGAGTCATAAAAGAGCCAAGGTTGCCTACCCCGGGACTATGCAAAAAGTATTTGAATTCCACTGTTCATGTACAGGTGGTCCTCCACTTATGACCCGGCTTGAAGCCAAAATTTCTGTTGTTAAGTGAATTTTGGCCCGCTTGATAACCTTCCTTGCCACAATTGTTAAGGAAATCGCCGCACTAGTTAAGTTAGTAACATGCAAGACGGTTGTTGTGAGTTTGGCTCCATTTTGTGACCTTTCTCGATGCAGTTAAGTGAATCGCTGCAGTTGTTAAGTTAGTAACACGGTTGTTAAGTGAATCGGCTTATCAGGGGGTTGCAAAAGGAGGTCACGTGACCCCGGGACACTGCAAGCATCATAAATATATAATAATAATCATAATAATCATAATAATCATAATCATAAAATAGAGAAAGTCATAGAAAATGATAAAATCAAACTGCTTTGGGACTTCAGAATTCAAACAGACAAGCACATGCAACATAACACCCCAGACTTAACAACTGTCGATAAGAAAGACAAAAAAGTCTGGATAGTGGACATGGCAGTGCCTGGAGACAGCAGAATAGACGAGAAAGAAGTGGAGAAGATAACAAAATACAAAGACCTACAAATAGAAATAGAAAGACTGTGGCAAAAGCAAGCAAGGGTAGTACCAATAGTCATAGGTTCCTTGGGTGCAATCCCAAAACAACTGGAGCACCACTTGACAAATTGGCATTGACAAATTCGCTATTAGTCAATTGCAAAAGGCGGCCTTACTAGGAACTGCTTCCATCCTGCGACGATAGCTGTAATACCATCAAACATCCACATCTGCCTATCCCAGGTCCTGGGTAAGGACTCGATAGGTAGACAAAATGCCAAATCCAGTCTGAACATCTGGCTGACTGTGCGATGATCAATATAGGTTGGAAGGGACCTTGGAGGTCATCGAGTCCAACCCCCTGCTCAGGCAGGGAACCCTACACCATTTCGGACAAATGGCTGTCCAGTCTCTTCTTAAAAACTTCCAGCGTTGGAGCATTCACATGATCCTGGGGACGTGACAATGGTCGTAAGTGTGAAAAATTGGTCATAAGTCATTCTTCTCAGTGTTGTTATAACTTCGAATGCTCATTAAACAAACAGTTATAAGTCAAGGACTACCTGTAGGAGAACTTTCCCCGGCATATAATAATGGGGAGAATAACCAAGAAACATTCTTCCTTTGTAAATTGTTGAAAATCAGGAGCCACGTCCACATGGCTATTATCTTCTGCAACTTGCTCAAAGAAGAGGTCATTCCCTTCAACTCATTTATGATGTATATTTACTCAGAAGTTAAGAGACATTATGTTAAATGAGCTTCTCTCCAGTAAGAGAATGCAGGGGGGGGGAGAGAGAAAACCCTAATAAAGCTGATTTAAAGCTTGCAGGCCTAACTCCTTTTGTGAAGGGAATGAAGTGGGAGTACAAGAGAAGAAATAGCACACACATTAGACTTTTATAAAATGTGAAAGCTGCAAAAACAGAAAGCTTTGTAGATGATTTATTGGCCCAAGGCTTTCTTTTTTTTAATTCTACTGCTTTGAAGCACATAAGCTCCGGGCTACTTGAGCAAGGGCAGCTGGATGTCTTCAGATGGACTACAACCCCCATAATTCCAGTCAAAATAGCCATAGCCATGGAAGCCAAGGGTTTTTTTGAAGTATATCCAAGAACTTCCTCAATAACATCCACCGTGATAGGCAAGTTAAGTAAGAGAAACACTGCATAGCAGCGCCTGTTAGGGAAATTTGCAGATTTCTTGTTATTCATTTAAAAGAATAATAGAATAACAAGAGTTGGAAGGAACCTTGGAGGTCATCTAGTCCAACCCCCTGCTCAGGCAGGAAACCCTATACCATTTCAGACAAATGGCTGTCCAATCTCGTCTTAAAGCCTCCAGTGTTGGAGCATACACAACTTCTGGAGGCAGGTTGTTCCACTAGTTAATGCCAGGTTGCTTCTCTCTTTGGTTAGTTTCCACCCGTTGCTTCTTGTCCTGCCTTCAGGTGCTTTGGATATCAGCTTGACTCCCTCTTCTTTGGGGCAGCCCCTGAGATACTGGAACACGGCTATCATGTCCCCCCTCGTCCTTCTCTTCATTAAACTAGACATGCCCAATTCCAGCAACCGTTCCTTATATGTTTTAGCCTCCAGTCCCCTAATCATCTTTGTTGCTCTTCTCTGTACTCTTTCTAGAGTCTCAACATCTTTTTTACATCATGGTGACCAAAACTGGATGCAGTATTGCAAGTGTGGCCTTACCAGGGCATTATAAAATGGTTCTAACACGTCACATGATATTAATTAAATCCATCTATTAATATTTCATATGCCACCCCTCTCACTCATAAAATGACGCTGGCAGGCTCAAAGACACTAAACAGATAAATAGAAAAACAATTAAGATTTTAAAAGCCAGTTTGGTCTAATGGTTAAGGCAGTAGGCTAGAAATCGGGAGACTGTGAGTTCGAGTCCTACCTTAGTCATTTATTCTGGGAGTTGAAGTCCACAAGTCTTAAAGTTGCCAAGGTTGGACACCCTTGTTCTAAATCTTAAAGGGTAGACCAGGGTTTGTGGATCCCTTCAATCATCTGCTCCTATCATTGCCAGCAGGAATTCCTGAGTGGATGGGGTCCACAGCAGACCCCTTCCAATGCAGCAAGTGGGGCCGGCTAGTCCCACTGGGGTGAGAAGTACTTGAACACTGGGCCCTATCTAACAAAATGAAATTCAGCGTAGATAAAAATAAGGTTTTACACTTAGGCAAGAAAAACCAACTGTATAGGTACAAACTAGGTGAAACATGGCTTAATACAAGTAACTGTAAGAGGGATCTTAGAGTCCTAGTGGACAATCACTTAAATATGAGCCCACAGTGTGCAGCAGCAGCCAAAAAGGCTAATACAATCCTGGGTTGTATAAGCAGAGGCACAGAATCAAAATCACGTGAAGTATTAGTACCACTTTACAAACTCTTAGTATGGCCACACCTGGAGTATTGCATCCAGTTCTGGTCACCACAGTATAAAAAAGATGTTGAAACTCTGGAAAGAGTGCAGAGAAGAGCAGGAATTGGCTATGTCCAGTCTAGTGAAAAGAAGGACTAAGGATGACATGATAGCAGTGTTCCAATATTTGAGGGGCTCCTACAAAGGTGAGGGAGGGGTCAAACTACTTTCCAAAGCACCAAAAGGCAGGACAAGAAACAAGGGATAGAAACTAACCAAGGAAAGAAACAGCCTAGAACTAAGGAGAAATTTCCTGATATTTAGAACGATTAATCAGTGGAACATCTTCCTCCAGAAGTTGTGGATGCTCCATTACTGGAGGTTTTAAAGAAGAGATTGGACAACCATTTGTTTGAAAAGGTACAGGGTCTCCTGCTTGAGCAGGGGGGTGGACTAGAAGACCTCCAAGGTCCCTTCCAACTCTATTATTCTATGTACATTACCTGCCCTCTACAGCCCATAGCAAAATTCAGAATGATCCTGAAAATCTTCTATAAAATGCAGGTTTTCCAGGATGGACCAGGCAATGGAAAAAGGGAAGACTTGAAGTAGACACCTTGTAAATGGCCGACGGTAGAGATTTTATGTATTGAGCTAGCAATAACTCTCACACAGTACCCACACAGCGATGCACCAGTTAATGAAGTATGTTCCTTCATTACTGCCAAGGGGGTTTGGTGAATTTGCCAAGGCGTGCTGCTTCTTTTTACTCATTGGTAAACCACAGGAAGTTTGTCCGGGCATTACTTTCCATCTGCAAAGTGCTTCACGCTGAGTTGGGCAAAGTGTTTAAAACTGCACCCTCTCCAGGACTGCCATGCTGGATTGCCACCCATCAGGCAGATATTCGAGTTCTTCATTATTATTATTATTTTTTTTAAAAAAAGATCACATCCATCTGGGCACAAACCTAGCTTTGATCTAAGCAAAATGAAAGAAAACCTGGCGAAAAACACTGTGGGGAATAGGACATTCGATGTCCTTCAAAACATTGCTAGCATAGGATTAAAAGTAGGGGGGAAATTCCTAGCCGGAAGAATTTGGGAATGTCTGACAATTCCAAACATGTTTTGCAGCTAAAATATAATGGCTGAATGCTACAATATCCATATTAAACATTTCCCAAAATATTCATTCTCTCTCTCTCTCTCTCTCTCTCTCTCTCTCTCTCTCTCTATCTATCTCTCTCTCTCTCTCTCTCTCTCTCACTCACTCACTCACTCACTCTCATGGTGACATTCTTCAACAGGGTATAAATGGAAGAAATAGAATAGAATAGAATAGAATAGAATAGAATAGAATAGAATAGAATAGAATAGAATAGAA